TCCTGCGTGAGATTTGCGGATTTCAGGGAAAAAAAAAAAAACCACAAAACCAAAAAAAACAAAACAACAACAACAACAAATCCCACCAAATCCCGGGAAAGTCGGCCCGGAAAGGAATTGCAAAATCCCCGGGCCGGGATCACCGGGAGGCTGGGCTGGGTTTTCCTGCGTGAGATTTGCGGATTTCAGGGAAAAAAAAAAAAACCACAAAACCAAAAAAAACAAAACAACAACAACAACAAATCCCACCAAATCCCGGGAAAGTCGGCCCGGAAAGGAATTGCAAAATCCCCGGGCCGGGATCACCGGGAGGCTGGGCTGGGTTTGGGGTCGGTTCCCGGCTCTTTCCTGGCACCCACCGTCCAGCAGCCGCTGGGGGGGGGGGTTTTATCTGCAGGAGCTCCGGGAAAAGTCGCTTTGGATTTATTTCCTCGCTGGCAACCGGATCTTTTCCTCCCGGAAAGTGAAACCGTGGGATCAGCGTCCCAGCAAGACGAAACCTGTGTGGACATGGCAGAGCCCGGCTCTCGGTCCGGCCGGGGTTTAGATCCCGTAGGAGCGAGGGAAATGCCGCTCGCTTGACCGGGGAATGTTGTTGGTAACCGGGGCGCTGGGATCGGGGGATCGCTTGGATATACGGACCTCGGCGTCACCTCGCAGGGCATTTCTTCGCCACCTTTTTTGATTTCCCTGAGACACCGGCCAAGCCTTTTCCCCCAGCGCGGGGCGGCCCCGGTGCCGGGCGAGCTTGCCGTATCGCCGCGAGGGTTTTTATTTTTGGGGGGATTGCGTTACGCCGTGTGCCTCCCGTCCCGGGACCCGCCATGGCGTTGAAAGCCAGAGCGCTTTACAACTTCCAGAGTGAAAACAAAGAGGAGATCAGCATCCAGGAGAACGAGGAGCTCGTCATCTTCAGCGAGAACTCCCTGGACGGGTGGTTACAGGGCCAAAACAGCCGCGGGGAGACCGGCCTCTTCCCTGCCTCCTACGTCGAAATCCTCCGCTCCCGGTCAGGCTCCAACTACACGGACTACTCCGGCAGCCCGGCCGGCTCCCCCGGGCACGACTCCTCCTTCTACACAGCTTCCCCCAACCCCGGCATCTCCTACCAGGGCAGTTTTGAGGACGACGACGATGATGATTGGGATGACTGGGACGATGCCTGCACGGTGGTGGAGGAGCCCCGGAGCGCGCCGGGCACCAACGGGCACCCTTCGCCCAGCCTGCAGTACCCGGCGGCGTACGGCCACCACCAACACGCCGGTTACTGTCCCAAGCCGGCGCTGGAGAGGCAGGACAGCATGAGCTCCTCCAAGAGGGGCAGCGTGGTGGGGAGGAACCTCAACCGCTTCTCCTGCTTCGTCCGCTCAGGGGTGGAAGCCTTCATCCTGGGCGATGTGCCCCTGATGTCCAAGATCGCCGAGGTGTACTGCATCGAGATGGGCTCCAAAGGTCCCCAGTGGAGGGCGAACCCCCACCCCTTCATCTGCTCCGTGGAGGACCCGACCAAGCAAACCAAGTTCAAGGGCATCAAGAGCTACATCTCCTACAAGCTGACCCCCAGCAACATCAACTCGCCCGTCTACCGGCGGTACAAGAACTTCGACAGGCTCTCCAA